GCTGCAGCGGTTTGTCTCTGCGGCGCCCAGAGAGCTGGACATGTCCTAGCCGAAGGAACATGCCTCGCCTCGACCGCCTCTCTTGTGCCTCCCACCCCGCACAATACGCGCCGCGAGGATCTTGCCGTGATGCTCGCTCCCATCTCCTGCTTACTGACCTTTCAGCCGCGCACCGCTCCGCTTTCTCACATGATGTCTCTAGCTCTCGGTATGACCTGCCTGCAAGCCTCCGTAAATACATCTTGCTGTCTGCTTCCCCCAAGCTTCCTTAAAGGTGTCCTTTTGTTTGTTTGTTTTATTTTGGGGGGCAACGCTTGACAAATAGCAAGGCTGCTGCTGTATTGACGCCGTGCTTTATCATGCTGACCATCGTTGCCTAATTGATGTGTGCCTCTTGCTGTTTATATCTTGGTAGTTCTTGGTCTTTTTGGTAAGTTTGGCTTTTTGCAATCTCTTGGAATGTAAAATTTCTGCAAGCTGGGGGTTTCTCTTTGTTATGCGTTTGTAGACTAAACGTAGCAGAGTTCCTTCCTGATCCACGACTATTGTGACAATACAATTGATATGGTTATACATCATCCTAACATGAGATGATTTTCTAATATCATTGTTAGTCTTGTTTTTTATTACTTTGCAAATATTTTGGCAAAATTCTCCACCAGCTTTGTTTGCAATTCTTTGTGAAAAGTACTTTGTAACCAATTGAGTTCTACTGCTCCTTGATTTCAGCTTCTGGGTGGGTGGCAATGTAGCAGAGGTCTGGCGATGATCTCAGGCTTCTGGCAGATGTAATTAGCCTTTCAAAGATGTCATCAGCATCCTCCCACATTACTCCTTAAGCTGGATTGGTATCGGTTTGGCTTCCTAGCTATTGGCAGATAAGACTTTGTCATAGGTAGTTCGGAGAGCTCAGATTTCAGGTCTGTTAGCTGGAGTACAAGACTGAAGTACTTGCCCTAAAGTAACAGTGTGCAGTAACCCTGTATTCCAGTTTAATATATTGGTGTCACACCCTATGGCGCCTTTAACTATGCATCTTGTCAGGAAGAGGTCTAGGAGAGAAAATATGGGGAAAACAACATGAAAAACTTCTGGTGTAGATGTATAGGTGTAGAAGTATAGCTTCAAGATTTACTGTAGCTCCTCTCTGAAAAGAGTTCTTTTTGATTATTTTCATCTTTGAGCTTCAGAAACAGCACCCTTAACAGTGAGATTGTTTCCTTGCTGTAGACTAAAAGCATAGTAACAGCTTCTTTGCGTATCAGGATGGTGTATCTTAGGCCGTTTCCTTCATTGTTAGTGATAACTTATTAATATCGAGCTTGGGAGATACTACAGTAACATATACCTGCTTTTATAGAACTGTACTCTTGATGATGTTGTTACCATGCATGAATATTTGCCTCAACAAAAAGCTTTTTCAGTAGTTGAAGACTAGTTTGTGCAGTGACAGGACAGTTGTCTGTGGAAGTTGATATTTTAATTGGTGGGAGGATTTATAGGTTTGTGTTTTTCTGTGGAACCTGAAGTGTTTGTAGAATTGAATAATTTAGAAAGAGTAAATACAGACAATGACAAATTTAAGTGAGGTGCACCTAGTAAGTAAAACTTTGTACAGACTTAGTTTTTTGACGAATAATGATTCAAACATTAGACTTATTGAATAATCCTGTGTATGAATAACTGTTTGACTCATATGCACATAGTCCAATATTACTTAGGCTAAATATGGCTTTTCTGTAGCTAGATGGGCAAATATCGTGATTCTCATATCTTAGGAATTTAAAAAGAAAGAAATCCTAAAAGATGCAACAGTATTAGCTATTTCACCAGTTGGGGGGAGGGAGAAGTCATGAGTTATAATTAAACAAAAAAATCTATGGTTCAATACATTTTTTGTGAATTTGAAAGATGAAGAGGTTTATTATGTCTTGTTTCTTAGTAACTTGAATTACTTATTCTGCTTATCTTTTTCTCCTCTGACTTTTGAATTTTTTGGTCAATTGCAGTTACATTTTATTGAAACAGAAGCCTCTAACATGGTCTGCTATTTCTGCATTGTTAAATATGCTGAATGTTTTTTAGGAGGGCTGAGTACCAGTGGATGGTGCCCTCTAAAAAAGTGTACAAGTGTTAAAACCTTGTCGTAGAAGAATAGCATTTTTTGGTTGGAATCTCATGCTTAGTTTTATAAATGCATGTAAGGGGTTTTTTTTTTGCTTGTTTTTGTTTTAAAGGAGAAGGCTTTACCGAACTGACCAATATCAAGGAGAAGTAAGGCCTGAGATACTTATAAGGAATTTTTTTCAATAGGTGGCTTTTTAATAGATTATTTGTTTTCTGAAAGGGTTAGCAGTGTCTTTATTTCAGAGAAGGAAAATTCAGAGATTTTGTTTCTTAGTATATTGTATTTTCTTTATATATCAAGTGACTTAAGTGTGACTTGCACAATTGCTATTATCTAGGCTTTATTGTATTGTTTGTAACTGATACTGTATTACCCAATGAAACTCAAGACAGATCCTAAAAAAATTTGCCCTTCTTTCAAAAGATCAACAGTGTTTAACAATAACAGTGTTTTTAAAGCTATTTATGATGTTTGTATGTTCTGCTGCTGATGAGCCAGGTTTCTTTTATTCACATAGTAGTTAGACCTAAAGTTTCTTAAGAGAATTTCTTATCAGTGTAATTGCAGCATTGGAGCAGTGCGATTTTGACTTCCTTTGTTGAGAGCTGTAATGCCGTTAATGATAAAATTAAGAAAATTACAAAAAGTGGTGAGAATAGTGTCCAGGGCTCTTCTGATTATGCTGTTTGAGACAAATGCTGTTAGTTGTTCTGCCTTCATTCCTTATTTTTTCAACTTCCATCAGAAGAGTCACATTTCATTTCCTCTGAATCATACTCAAATGTACATCCATAACTCTGACATCACACTCTTTAAAGGTAATAACATGTTGTTAGACCTTTAATGACACTAAGCTTGATAAGGTATCCTAGGCTTGTTGAGGTTAAATTGTGCATCTGAGTCATTAAGAGGAAGTAGAGGTCTGCATCTTAGGTGATCTAAGAGCATAGATTGAGATCAGAGTCATAAGGGCCATAGAGAGTAGAGAAAAGTTACCTTCATTACAGGTGGTTCCTTCTCAGTTGTTCTTTGACTTTTGTGTAATACATCGCATTACTTGCATTGCAGTCCAGTGTCTTGGTTACGCAGCCTATGGCAGGTGTTAGCTTCTCTGGCAGCGATGACTAGAAAAAGTCGTAACAAAAGTGTTGTGAGTTTTCTTGCTCCATTCAAAACTACCTCTTCTGGGGTTAAAAAAGGAAAGAGCTTTTAGCTGAAGACAACCAGGGCTTTAGAGCTGTTTAGTCCAACAGAACTGTAGACAACCGGGGAAAACTATTGAGTTGTAACTAGAATGCTAAGCAATTTTCAAGTGATCTACAAATGTCTGGGATATTTAAAAAAAAAAAAAAAAGAAAAGAAAAAAAAAAGGAGGGGGCAAGAGAATTTAATTATGCTCTACTAAAAGAAACTGCATGTCTCTGAAGTTTGCTGTAGTAAGGCTAAAGCTTTGCCTTACCTGTAAAGGATAGTTCATGCTTGAAGTTTTAGGGTGTCTCTACAACCTATAATCTTGCTGGAAATTCCTTGCTTTCAAAACCAATTAATTGAATAATTTTGAAATTGCTAAATGTTTGTAATTTGATGGGAGGGAATCTTCTTTTGGGACAATAATTGGTGATTTTGGTGTTCAGCAATATTAGAGCTGTGGCAATTGTGATATATTTCTAGTTTCATACTGAAAGATGCTTGATGAACAATGTGAGAAGCTTGAAGCTTTCAAATTGAGGCATGCAGCACTGAAAACATACATGAAAATGAAGAACTGGAATATTATAAAGTTTGTTCTGGACAATTTTGCTGTGATGGTAGCTTTCCCTTTTTAGCTTCACTATGATTCATTGACTAAACATGTGGTCTCAAATTATGGCCTTATTTAAACTAAACAGATACCCTGCACTGATTGGGGCAAAGTCCTTTTCTAGAATTTTACTACATTATAAAATGTTGGCTTTCATGCATGTTATGAAAAATGATTTGTTTAGTAGAGACTTGAAGACAGTTAGAAAATACCATCAAAATTATCATATAGAATTTACCTTTTTTACTTCTGTATTTCTATTAATGTTGCCTGGGCAAAGTAAAATTTTGACTTAATGCTGAAATATGTAGCCTACTAAATTTCTTTCATAAAGCATTGAAGTAGTTACCTGAAAAGCTGCCCTTCTGAGTGATTTCAGTGACAAGTATAATCAGTCCTCCAGTGATGGACCAAATAGTACAGTCCCATGTTGACTTAGATTATTGTTTCATATACTTACATACATATATAAAAAAAATTATATATACACGTATATATAATTTTATATATGTGTGTGTGTGTGTATAGTGGCTTTTTAGTACATTTTGACTTATATAAAAACTAATGTTGCTTTATACTGTTGTCTTACAGACTTGTTATATTAGTGCTGTTGACAAAGATACAGTTACTTGGTAGAATTTGCAAAGGTAGGGGTGGAGGGGAAAGAGAGTAATAAAATCCTGGAAATTAATTTTTGGATTGATTAGACTTGCTTCCATTTTTCTAGATGTGTTGGAATTATCATTCTAGGATAGTTGGATACAGCTGACCTCTAACTAGTACCTTTTGTTTAAATTCGTCTTGCCCTGCTCCAAGTTTCAGCATTTTGTCTTGCCCTACTCCCCTTTTTCTTCAATCTTGCTTGAAAATAGGTATCTTTAAATTGCATATATTACATAGGGACAACAAAACCATTGTCATTAGGGTACCGATCATACATCAGGATATCCTTTAACATGCTAATCCCATGCCGCTGTTGCCCCACTCATCAGCGCAGTAGTACTACAGTCGAATGGGTTGAACAAAAGATTAGAATCAAAAGCTTTTCATTTCTAATTTTGCCTGATTTTTGTCTTGCCCAGCTTGCCTAATTCTTGCTCTGTGTTTACATCTGTAACATAGGAGTATGGTGAGAAATAATACTTTGTTGTGTTTTACAGATGCAGATGATTGTACTTAGTCAATTTTAAGTACTGTGAAGACATATACTTGTGCTACTAAAGGCTTGTGAAAATTAAAACTCATTTTAAGAAAAAAAGGGGAGTCTGAACGTGAAGTCTAAGAATAGATGCGAGCTTAAGTGCCAGCTTCTGTCTCCTGCTTATTAAATTCTCTAACACACAGCTTTGTTTTGCCCCATGCATTGGAAAGAAGCTCCTTATAGGAAAGAGCACTGAAAGAAATTTGAGGTAACTTTGTAGAAATTTCCAGCTCTTACAAAAAGAACTGTATAGTGGTTGGGCTACTCTTTTCCTGAGTATGCTGCTTTGCATACTGACCAATATGGTTTCATTATTACCTTGTACTCTTGTATTTCTCCTTTTTCTTCCAGTGTTCTCTGCACCTGAATTCAGGCTTCTGCTTCATTGGTGAACTAATTTGCATTGGAGCAATAAATATTTCAATTTGTTAAAAACTTTCTAAGTAACCATAGAGCATAAAAATTAGAAGGAATCACTGTCATCATGTATTCACCCTGTTTTTAACATAAATGATGGTGGTACCTATTAACTTTTCTGACTCGAGCACATCTGTGATTGGGGACTGACTGATTTTCTGAAAAGAACTTTAGCAATCAGGCTTCTTCATTAAGTGTCAGTTAAATCTTGCAGTGGAGGGTAACTTTCTGGTGATGTTTGTCTTACGCTAGGCTGAATTTATCTAGCTTTGAATTCCAGCCACTGTTTCTTGTTATAGTTTTGTCCTTCGGACTGAGGGTTATCAAATTCTAGTTCTTTATGCAAGGACTTAAACTGGTATCAGTCTACCCCGTGTGTTTCTCATAGACAAAGCTTCTCGAGCAGTTTGCTCTAAGGGGATGTTTTCTAACAGATTTGTTGTTGTTGTTCTTATCTCAGCTTCTTACTTGAATTTTGGATATATTCTAGATGGTCATGCACCTTCTGAGTACAAAGGTAATATGGCTGCCTAGCTAAATATTCGTTTAACATGAATCTGGGAATTACATTCACTGTTATGCTTCTTATGTAACATAAAGAATCCCATGTTTAAATGATTACCCAATATGGTTTTCAAACCTGCCGACATGACTTATTTCAGATAAACGTAAAGTTATACATCTGTAAGCTGAGCTGAAATTTGTTTAGGGTTTTTTGCTTACTCCTGTACTACTGAACTGTATCACGCACCTAGCGTTCTGACTATTTACTGCTTTCTCAATCTTTGTATGAGTCATCCTTTATCAGTAACTCTTTTCTTTTAGAATTATGATGAAAATATGTACTTTGATGCCAAGAACCCAACTTTATTAGAATCTAACCCTTCAATTGCTTGATGATACCCTGTCCATAGTTAAATACTGGGACCCATCAGGTAGCCAACTTACAATCTGCTCAGTGTAGGCTATTTTACTTTTGTGTTCTTGTTTAATACTCAATATAATGTAGAATATGAAGTCAGATATATACTGAGGGCTACCTATTCTAGAGCAGTATCATCATCAACTGAAATTGATACCCTAAGAAAATCACGAGCTAATTGGAGAGTGGTAGCATTTCCTCAAACCTCTGTTTGGGCTGACAGAATTTTATCAGCCTAATTCTTAGGTAGAAGAATTATGTTGAAACATTATGTTATTTCTTTTGGGACTCGCGTCATACGAAGGTTTACAGTTTTTGTTCTTAATAAAGCTGTATTTTTTTCCCCCCCAAATGTCTAGTGATTTCAGTTAGTTAATCTGCTTAGGATATACTAATTTACGTAAGCAAGAACCCAAAGGAGTGATGTGATCGTGTCATACCTGACTACCTTTGATATCCGAGGCAAAATGACTAAATTTTCATTTATAGCTGGACTACTGAGACTGTTCTTTCAGAAGATTGCTAGGATTATTTTTGGGTATGAGGCTGTGGTCCTGTAGCCTAATCCAATCTCTGTCATCATGCTCCCTCCCCACTTTTTTTTTTTTTTTTAACTGCTACCAAACTATAGGCCCTGGGTTATGTCCTCCTTTCCTTCTGTCATTGCTTTATGTGATGAGGATAATTAGTAGCTATTTGTAATCTATTTTTGTTGCATAAAGCTTCATAGCAGCTTTGAAATATGCGTATGCTAATCATGGTATTTACTCTTACCTCTGCCTCTTACAATAAGTGGCATATTGTGAACTCTAATTTTTTTTAATTGTAGGATTCTACTTGTTTGTTTAAATTGGATCATTGCAACATTAAATCTTAGACTATTCCAATACACATTTTTACTTTGAGTTTGGTTCTCTTATGACAAATAAGCTGTTGTTAGCAAAAGGAGAACTAATTAAAAGGAATTCAATAGTAATTGAATGCTACCCTTCATTTAATAAAGTTTAGAATTTCACTTTTTTAAGCCTCATCATCAGTATTAAATAACTTAAAGTAGCATATCTGATTGAAGTTGTTGTTCAGTGAAAGAACACTCTTAAAGTTCAATATTGTTGAAAGAAAGAAAACTGCATCTGGACTTCGTACCTGGTTAAAATGAGGCGATGTTATATTGACTGTCTTTCTGCTTACTCCCCATGTGACTGTGTATTGAAATCATGTTTCAGCAAGTTCTTTCTGCTGTAGATTATCTCCCAAATCATTCTTATGAGGCAACGATTGGGGAAGCAGAACTGTCTGCTGTCTGCCTTACAGTTCAAGCTATCTGCTTGCGCTTCCATCAGATTATACCCGATAACTGCATAATATAGAAATGTATGTGTAGCATAAACACATTAAGGTTGATGTCTGCATGTTGCTTTGACAGAAAACTTTCAGAGGTCTTTCTCTTTTCAGTTTTTCAGTCTTATGCATCTAAGCAGAGACTACCAGCTATCACATTTTTGCTTGCTGTGATTGGCCTGACCTGGGTTGAGAAGAGGCTGTGTCCCAGTTTCCTCTTTGGGCAGTCGTCTTGGGGAGTCTTCAGCAATGTACCAGATATATCTTGGTAACTGACATGAGATGAGGTTAGGAAACCTCTTTCAGTAAAGTCAGAGGTCAGCACCTTGGTGAGAAGTGTAGCTGCAGCCCTTTAAGGGCAGCAAGTTGGTGGCACGTTTCTTAGGGTGCTGTTTGGGCCAGAAAACACTTCCGGAGGGGACTTCCTTATCGTACTAGAGTCTAATGACTATGTGTCTGAAACTAGTTGCTGAGGGGAAAAAAAAAAAGGAAGTCTGAGCCAGCCTCTTTTCGTTGAGCTGGCTGCCTGGCTGATGTGAAAAGAAAATGGTCACTGTTCTTTTTTTCTGTCTGTTCTCCAGGTTCGCCTTCCCCATGAGCAGCAGTCTGTTGCTGATTCTATTACATATTAAGGTGTTTGAGCTTCTGTAAGTCAAGAATGCTTTACGTTTGCATTATTCCTTCAAACATACTTCAGACTTCTTTACTATTGTTCAGTGATAAGTAAAGGAAATGGAGAGAGGACTTTGAGCACACTCGTCTGTCTTTCTGTATTGCCAAGATCTTGCAGTAAGTCCTCTTTAATGAATGATGAATGAAATTTTACAGAGCAAGAAACCATTTTCTGAGGGACCATGCAGTTTGCCCAGAGAGGTGCTGTGGTTTGTCTGGCTGCCTGTGGCTTGTTTTGCCTTCCTTTTGATGAGCAGCCACTAAAAATGACCCAGCTTGCATAACAATGACTTCTGAAAGCTTACTATTCAGAGTTCCCTTAAAGCAGATTTCTCCACTCTGAGGCAGTTCATGAGGCAGAACTATGTCATATGTTTCTCTGAAGTGATTCATTGCTTGCAGTGGAAGTGGCAGTTAAATGCTTCCAACTCTCTACTGATTTTAATTTGAAATGATTGCTCTTTGTGATCTTATGCAAGTTCCTGGGCAGTTGTTCAGTGACAAGCAAATAACTTCACTTTTTTTTTTTTTTTTAAATATTTGTCTATCTATCTATATGTCTCATATGAGTGTATAATTAAAACATTCTATTCTTGAGACAAAATTTGAAATGGCATTTTGGGTATGAAGTTTTACAGACCATTAAAACAAAGGTCATACCTCATTATCCTTCTCTTTTTACTGTATGTTGATAAGCTAATAAATTGCTGAACTAATGCAGTGTAATCCAATCTACCCTTGGTGATCTGGGTCTACTGGATTGCAGCTGAGAGAAAAATCGCTATACAGCAAAGGCACAGAACGTTCCTAAGTCTAGAGGCTTTTAGAGTTGGCTGAAAGGAGGAGGTTGACTTCCATAAGGTTGTCATGGGAGTTCGATTGCAGGCCTCCAAGAGGGAAGAAAGGAAGCAAAAGCAATAGGAATGAATGAATGATATTTGGAATTTCACACATGATGTTCTTGAAACCCAGTGAGGAAAGAGTTGATGTGATGGGTATAAAGGCATGTGAGTGAAGAGGGTTGTTTGGGATGAAAGTTCTGCTTGATCGTTTCAGCTCAGCTTCTTCAACACATAGTTGCAATAAGAGTAATTTTACTTTGTTGCCTAAAATAGGTGATAAAAAAGCAAGATCAAACCTCTCTGTAGCAAGGATGTGGTTGACTTGGGTGAAATTAGCGTTCTCTTTTCTGGGTAAATTATGCATATTTGAGAAATCGCTACAGTGTTTGGGCTTAGAAGGAGATGGCAGGAATATTTGCATGAGTCAGTCAGAGGCACTGTTTCCTTAAAGCTGAGTGGAGTAACTACTGTACCGATCTTGTACATTTTGTGAAAGAGGGCAGTTGGGAAAAGTGAAAGAACATGTGGATCACAGTGTCAGAACCTCCTTCTTCCTTGCATCCATGTATCGCTTCTCCTGCCATGCTTCATGTTGGCACAGCTGTTTTCAGAAGCAATCCAACAGTATTTCCACTTTAAGTTGCTTGTGCAGCTTTCAGGGAGGATTTGTGTGGGAGGGGGAGTAAATGTTTGTACTGCCATAGAGTGAACCGGGGCAGGGAACTTATCTGGGTTAAAAGTGACCTGAGGAAACAAGGAGTTTTTTAATCTGGACCTTTATTCTAGTTCAGTTTGCTTTGTGCCTCTGTGAATGCTTGTGCTGCTGTAAGAGGGAGGAGAGGATGGCATGGAAATAGAAGCGAAGGTGGGAAGAAGATAGATGTTATGACAGCTATTCAGTCAATGGGATAGGTTAAACAGACTATTTGAAACAACTTCACTAATGTGCAGAAATAAAACTAATGTGCTGCTTCTGCATATTAGTTCTTTTGTTAATGATTTGCCTGTGTAACAATTTTATCCTCATCTTCCAGAAAACAATACCTTACCCTAATACCTCTTGTGCGCTGTTTTTTTTTTAACACTTCTTTTTCTTCTATTTATTTCACTTATTTATTTATTTCTATTTTTATTTTTTAGACAATGGGCACTGCATATTAAGCAGGGGTGGAAGACTGAAGCCCATTTGGGGGCAGAATGAGTTTAAAAGATGCTGACAGTGCAGTTTGCCAGGCAAAGACAGCCTATAATCTTCATATTTACCCCCAGCTCTCAACAGAAAGTGCTCCCTGCTGCAAAGTGACAGCAACCAAGGACAGCACATCTTCAGATGTCATCAAGGACGTGATTAATATCTTAAACCTGGATGTCTCAAAACATTATGTGCTCGTGGAGGTGAAAGAAGCAGGTGGTGAAGAATGGGTGCTTGATATAAATGATTCTCCAGTTCATAGGGTTTTACTTTGGCCTCGTCGTGCTCAGGATGAGCATCCTCAAAAGGATGGGTACTACTTTCTGTTGCAAGAAAGGAACACTGATGGGACTATCAAATATGTCCAGATGCAACTGCTATCCAAGGAGACAGATGCTCGGCGATTGGTTGAAAGGGGTTTTCTTCCCTGGCATCAGGAGGACTTTGATGACTTATGCAATCTCCCCAACCTAACAGAGACAACACTCCTAGAAAATCTCAAGTGCCGCTTTCTAAAGCACAAAATTTATACTTATGCAGGAAGTATTTTGATTGCAATTAACCCCTTCAAATTCCTGCCCATTTATAATCCTAAATACGTCAAGATGTATGAGAATCATCAGCTTGGGAAGTTGGAGCCTCATATTTTTGCCATTGCTGATGTGGCTTATCACACAATGCTCAAAAAACATGTCAATCAGTGCATAGTTATATCAGGTGAAAGTGGGTCTGGAAAAACTCAAAGCACAAACTTCTTAATTCACTGCCTCACGGCACTGAGCCAGAAAGGGTACGCAAGTGGTGTGGAGAGAACTATTCTAGGAGCTGGACCAGTTCTGGAGGTAAATTCATGCTAAAATTACCTTTCATGAAAACTGCTTCTTAAAAATTTCAAATAACTACTGTTGAGTACTAATTTTGAGCGTGTTTTGAGAGTCACCCGCTTGGCGTAGACTTTAAATATCTCTGAGCTGCATTGGTGTTTGGCTCTGTTGTGGGACTGCTTCTAATTGATTTTCCTTAATTCATACTTCCTTGCAGTTGACATCCTGTAGCTTTTAATTGATATTTGACTTAACTTTCCACAACTAGACGCTAATATTCTGGGACAGAGGTTACTTGTGTTCTCCCTCTTAAAGTTCTGGTGTCGTTTGAATCAAGCTGAAACTATAAGTAAATGTTTTAACAAAGAAGTAGTTCTACTGAAATATTAACTGCTTAGCGTAATTATGTCGTTGTGTATAAGCATGTCCTGTAGCTTTTTTTATGAACTAGCTTTCCAGGGGAGTTATTTCCTTGCTGTAAATGTTTGCTTTGAAAAGAACAACGTTGTTAGTTGGGGAGAAAGTGTGAGTCAGTTTTGACTTTTAATTTGAACAGCATTTCCAACAGAAAGCAAAACTAACCGCTAGGGTGAAAGGGGTACAGCTGGCATTGCATAAGGTAACAACAGGATAAACTTGAACAGATCTTGTAGGCTGCAGCCTTTCCCTCTTACTCTCCGATCTGAAAGGAAAAACTTTTTGAAATCTTTTGCTGGATGTAATAAAATGTTCAACAGCAAGGAGTTCGAACGCTACCTTTTGGAATGTTTAGGTTTAAGTATTCTCAAATGAAACAACAATTTCATCAAAAGATTTTTTTGGTCCTTTTTTTTTTTTAAGCTAAACCATGTGAAAAAGCAATGAAGTAAAACCTAAAATTGTGCTATATTTATAAATGTGATTTGAAAGCTTTTCTTTAAAGAATGAGGAATATATGCAAGTTCTCTTTTGCCTTGCTTTCTGCTATTGAAAGCAGAAGTAAAATTGCTTGAGGTTTGTTGGTTGCTGGAGCTCAAGTTTGCAGTTCTAAACACAAAACAGGAAGGGGTCACTGTGGAAAGCACTGTCTGATCAGCTGATCTTTCTGCATTTGCTGCAATTAACTGTTTCAGGCCCTGGTCTGCGGGACATGATTCAGCAGTGTCAAATCGGGGGGAGAAATTAAATCTTGTTGTTTTTGTGCATTGACATTCAAAATTAAAGCTTAACTTTGTAGATGTCACAGGTAAATGTTGTTTAGGCCTGAGAATATTCATGAAAAGACGTTTTGGTTTTCTACAGTAAGGTTGGTTGGCACATGTACTGCAGCTCTTCAGACTCCCATTGAGCAATTTAGTAATGCATTTCATGTGAAAATAGTCTTGCTAGCTAGAACTATGCTGAGCAATTGAGAGTTTAGCTTGCAAATTTGATGAATAAATTCTAACATTGATGTTGGAGTACATATTATCTGAAATGTGAGACTCCTGAAATTCTCAGAGAAACTTCTTGCTCTACATCTTTAAGGAGGCTTGTCAGTCACGCATTGATTCAGTGTAAGCTTGTGACTGACTATTGCAAAAGATGAAGGGTTGTTTTATGACAACTAAATATCAAAATGTAGAACATCTGTATCCTAAAATGACTTTAAGAATTGAATGTATATTTTTGTGTAAAAAGTATTACTCATTGACTTGACATTGAGGAGGAGGAAACCTTTTTGAAACTGACAGAGGCTAAGTTAAGATTGTTCTGCTAAAATAAGCCACTCGGGTACCTGTGATTGTGGCACAACTCGGTTAAGGTAGTGGTAGTAGAATCAATGCTTCTCTATTCCTGTAACTTCAGTGCCCATCAAAAAGTGATGCTACAGTGGGTTTTAGACTATAGAGATGTAAAATCAAGCTATTCTACTGACTGCTCTGCATCGGAGCAAGTAGACAGTGAAGCTTCCAGGTTTCCCAGCATGGATGCTCTTGTGCAGTTCCAGTTCTTAAGTGCAATTTGAAAAATCAAGTGAAATCTTGATCTTGAAGAAGAATGTGTTGAAAGCTTACTTTGCTTTGTAGAAGCGGAACGGCTAGCAAACAAAACTCTTAGCGCTGGTCACTTTTCGATCTAACTGTGGTGACTCATCTGGGTTTTTACTTAACGGAACGTAAGTGGAACAAGGAAATTTTTCTTAAATGGGTGTTTCAGGGGATTTTTTGCATGAACAATTTTGAAGTGTGCCTAAACTATCTGACAATGTCCTGTTTAATTTTGAAGTTTTAATTTGAGCCCTCATGAAGTGGTTTCCACAAATGAAAATATATCCTCTTGACTAAAGACAATTTGTTTCCTGTGACATAAAAGCTGATACGTTCTGGCTCAGAACTTCCCCTTTTTAGTGGCCTCTTATTTTCCTGACACCTAAATAAGAAGTACCTGTTTATAGGTTGACCTTTTATAAGAGTTCAAGTGTTTCTAGCACAGAAAAGGTAAGTACTGGTAGTGTGGATGGAGATGGATTTATAAGTTTATCATCACATACTTAATACACTTAAAAATGTATTTCTTAACAAATGCTATTTCTGTGATGGCTAACTAATCTCTGTCCAACGCTATAAGCAATTTGAACATAAACTGTTGTTAATATTTTAGCTCCTTGTTCACAATTTCTATGCTTTGCAGAGTAAAGCTATAGATGTAAGGCCAAATCTCCTTTCATGGTACATGTTGCTTGATATTACCTTCTCAGACATCTGAGACATTGAGTACAACAAACTGAGACAGTGTAATTTAAAATTGTATATAGCATTAGCATAGCTGTTGTCATATGCGCTAGTGAAAGGAAAGTTGGTCATGGATTAGTCTCTGGTGCTCAGATGTACTTCTTGCTCAACTTTGGCACCAGAATCTGATCTGTTTATAAGGCTTCCTGTTGGCAATCAATTAAACAGTGGTGCTAGCTTGCACTACTTCTGATCACCTTTGCAGCTTTCCCAAAAGAGAAGGAATGTACAAGGCTGTTTGATTCCATGGGATAGTGATGCTTCAGCAAAGCCTGAAGCTGTGGGGTTTTGTTTTGTTTTTGTTTTTTTTAAACGGTTTATCCTGTGAAAACTGTTCATAAGCCATTCATTAGCCTTAGCTGTGTAGGAATTGCTCTCGGAATTTTTATTGTTTCTCCAGGATACCATGGGTCATCTCTAGTGAAGTGCCCTGAGCCAGGTGCTAAAAACTGTCAGGAAGATAAAGATAGGTTCTGTTTTAAGATACTCCTGACTTTTTCATCCTCTTCTAAATTTAGTCTTTAAAGTATAATTCCCTGACTTGGAGTTTTGCCTTCTAGTATTGACTATTAAGTTCAGTTTACTTATGATTGAAGTCTTAAGAAGGAATGCACATTTGGGAGCTATTATATGGATCAGATTGGGAATAGTGAATCAAACCATTGTTTATTTTGTAGTGTTTCAAACAAGTTAATTAAACCTTTCCATACACACTTAGGAAGTTTCCAAGAAATTTATGTTTTCCTTTCATCAAGGAAAAATGTCTTACACCATATGTTTCAGATATAAAATGCACAGTGCACAATCTAAGACTTTACTTATTTTGGAGACCTAATATTAACATAAAGATAAGCTCAACTTTATAAAATGTTGATAAATTTATTTACCATAATAGCTATTTCTGACCATCCAACTGGTATGAATGGGAAGGAAAAAAATTTGTAAATGCTTGATTTTGGATAATTTAGCTAAAAATCAACCCAAATACAAGATAAGGAAAGAGGCAGGATAGACAGATGTATTGGAGTTGTCATAACTTTTTCTCATGCTACTTTGAAAAGCACCACTTCCATTTGGACATGTTCTTGGAGGTTTCTTAATGGTACTGAACCCTTCTTTGAAAAGAATTAGGCCCAAATAAAATGGAAAGTCCAACAGGCAATATTCATTAAGTGATCTAGAGAAGGCAATTGTAAATATGAATTAACGAATCTTGACAGCACAGTTGAGGGGTAATGAGATTTACTGGAACTCAGCCAGCATGTTTAAAAGCTTGCTAAATTTCATTGTAGAAAGTCAACTGTTATGTTTTACCCTTCTATGGAAAGCAGTAAATCGATTGGTTGTCATCTCTGTTTTCTTTAATACAGTCCAATTGTGGTTTTGGTATGAGAGGGACTTAAAATAAGTGCTGCTTTGACTCTGGTTTTCATTTGTATTTGCCATAAAAGTCTGCATATATATTTAGTGGGTGTAGTCTGTTCTATTTAAGGTAGGGTAGTTGTTTTGAGGCTATTATCTGCATATGTTTGTTTTAAGGATCATAATCAGAGAAGGAATGGAACTTCCTTTTTCCATTCATTTGGTTGTTACTTGCTTTTTGAAGAAATGTGGTTGTTGCATGCTTTTTTTCCCTGCTGCACATCTCTCTTGGGAAAATTACCTTGTCCTTTATACGCTTTTATCATGTGGATAACTTAGACTTCCCCAGGAGTTCACGCAACATGCAGAGGGGTTGCAAAATTACCCTGAAATGCTGCAACTTCTGTGTAGATGAGTCCATCTTTTGGAGTGTGTTTGTGAAGACTACTACAAAACTCAGTCCAGACTTCCCTGGAGGTGTTACTCTGAAGCAGTCATTTCCTCTTCCATGGTGTATAATTTGATTCAGTGTCAGTTTGCACATCAAAAGAATGATCTGTTCAGTTATATTTCTGCCATGGATTAGAGTGGTTTACATAGAAACTCTTGATAGCTTTTTCAGATTTTTGGCCGTTCTCATGAAAGAGTTAAATTAGGTTTTCTAGTTGTTTTCCTGAGGTATCTCATAGGAGCCTGTGTGTAGTTCTGGGTTTGTTTTTACAGCAAATAATTTGGTGAAATGAGAATTTGCAGTTCTGTTGCCTCATTGAGCGTGCTTTTTTTCTGAATACTGTTAAAGGTGACACTGCTATTGGGGGAGTTTTGAATAGCAGACTCCAGTACGTCTCTTGTATTTCGAGGTGAAAGATGGGTTAGATGATGTCCTGAGTCCCAGAATAGTCTATCCCGGCTCGGGTTCCTGCTGGCCTTGGGCTGCTATTTTTGAATTGCCCTCGTATTCTGCCTTGGAATGGTCTTAGTTTTAGTTTTTCTTTTTTTTTTTTTTTTACCCTCCTCCTCGTGGAGTCACAAGGGAAAATAATAAGTGGGTTTAGCGATATAAGTAATTTCTCTTCAGCTGAAATTGTATCATGTCCCCTAATCTTCTGAATTTATTTGGGAAAGGTAAACGAAGGTAATCTTTCAGTGGGATTTGAACTCTGTATTTAATCCCTTTGAATAAAGTACTGTTAGTTTCACCTGGATAGAATTATCCATGAAAGATACTTTCCATCCAGAGCTATGGCTCGATAATATAGAAACTTAATTCTTGTCTGTAATGTTTTCACTAGGATAAGGCTGTAATAAGTTATAGATTACAGACATATAACTACTAAATATTCAAATATTTTTCATTTCAATTTTTTGCACTTTTCTGACTTTAGACAGTAATATCATTTTTTTATAGTTAACTCAAAGTATACCAAATGCTATGGTAGCAGCAGTTGGAATTTGAGCCTAAAGTTAAATATTACCCCCAAAAAAACCCCAAAATGTTAAGTGATTTGGAATGTCCTTTAAAAAGCTGTAGATATTAATAGCCTTTATGAGAAAACGATTAAATGCGTGAAAACTTCCCCAAAACTGGTAATATTAGATCAGCTTTTAAGAATTTGCTGTATGCTTTGACTAAATACCAGACGTATGAGATCATATGAGCCATTAGCAGTTTTAAACCATATTCATTGCTTACATGAGTGATCACTAAGAGAAGTTTTTCAGGAAGCCAGGGTTATGGGATTTCTTAACTCTTATGATGCCAAAGTACTTACTTTTTAAAAATAATTTGGCAAATTTAGCTGTACTGTGTCTTGTTTTCTTTAAAAAACAGTAGACTGGTGGTCTTAAATTAGAAAACTTTTTAGCAAGAAGTTCTTGCAGAACAAATTTGCAAGTCTGCTACTCGGCAGCTGGGCAAAGCTTTGCTGTCACAAATTTCTTGAAACACTAAATGAAAAGCTGGGTGGTTTTCTTCAGAGAGCCACAGGGAAGTAGGATTCTGACTTAAAGCAGATGATTTGTTGTCCTAATTTTACAGGATTTCCACTTTTGCTCTGATACCATTTGTTAACGAAAACGATTTGATCAAGATTTTTATAAAAAGTTAATATGCTACATGTGCAAAATGGACTTGGAAAAAAACAGAGAAAATCTGTTTTCTATGAGATAGTAGCTACAAAGAGATAGTAGCTCTGTTGGGTAGCAGCTACTCATCATGCCTTCTCTGAAAAATCTGAGTGGGGACTCTGCGTTATAAAGCATGTATGATGATCCCTAGAAATTAGAAGGCTGAGCTCAGCCTCTGTCATTTGCAAGAACTGCTGGGCAGAAATCCTGTCTCTTTGGAAACCTGCTGACTTTTCTAAAGTCTTACAAGAATCCATTTTCCCACGCACAGGAAGAGTTTCTTTGGCTTGCATTTAAGGCAGAAGGATCCGGAATAACTGTTATCCAGAGAATTATGAGAATTCTCTCAGTTTATAAGGTTTTTCACTTCACATATTTCTTGGATTCTCTGAACACTAGGCAAATGGCAGTAGAAATCACTTTTAAGAAATATTTGAGAACCTGTTGTAGAAATAGTGATTCAAGTATGATACTGCAGTGCAGCTGCAACCTTCTAGCATAATTTTTAAAAAGTGAGGGGGAAGGGTTTCTTCAGTATGGAAGATGAAACAGTGTGACTGGCATGAAAGTGGTACTTGCCTAGGAGATGCACCATAATTGGGCAGTTTAATTTAGAAACAGTTTAGTTCTGTTGCATGCAGTATGTCCATCGTTGTTTGTGTGTGGGTAGGAAGAGGGTGGTGTTTTTTTGTGAAATCATTCCACGAATCTGTTCTATATTAGGCGAGACGGATTTCCTATGGGAGACCTTAATTGCTTGGAGTTTTAGGAGGAAATATCTGTGGCAGGAATTGCTGGTGATCTCTCACAATGAGTAGTTATTTTTCCTAAACAGTTGCATTCCACACTGGATTTCTTCTCCCTATACTGATCACCTTCTGCATATTAACAGGATGAGAGATTTCTCTTAAACTAAGGAACCATAGTAAGAGTTGATAAAGTTACAGGTATTCCCAATAACTAATTCTCCTGGGCTTCTAGATGCAATAAACTATTTTTGTTCGTTTACTTACTTTTAAGTGTGGCTCATGCAGAGTATTTTTTATTATGAGTACGCTAGCAACTTTCTGAGGCGTGATAGAGGTAAAAGTATCAAAGATGTGTAGGCACTAAGAGTTAGAAATGGATGAGATTTGTGCCATACCTCTTTTTCCCCTTTTCCTAACACATCCAAATGAAACTCTGTTCTTAGTGTTGCATAGCACAGTTAACTGGCCGATGAGTATGATGTGTTTCCACAAGCCGCTGTTTTTCTGTGAATCTTTATCTCATTTTTTAAATACACAACTCTGAAAATTCATAGGCGGACTTTATAAGCAGGATCTTAATGTTCTGTTCTCACTTTAAGGAAAAATAGTTGCATAATTACTGTGAAACTTTTGAGTGGTAGCAGTACTTTAGGGAATAAGACAAAGTTTGTGGCTTTACTATGGGAGGAGCAATTTCGTAGTAATTATACTATCTTCCTCCTAACAAATGTCCTCTTTAAGTTCAGAATTGCTAATAATTGAGGTTGACTTGAGCTCTCTAGCTGCTTTTACCTTTCAATACTCCTAAAAAATATAGTTAAGTTTGTCATTCCCCTTCCTCTAACTCCCAGGCGTTATTGCATAAGGCAAATAATGAATCCGTGTAGCTCTGTGAGGAACAGTGAAAGCTTCCTAAGCTGCTGTTTCTGTAATATTTTGGGCGTTTAGTGCCAGCTAAGAGGGGGCTGAACAATGAACAGAAGATTTTTGACAATCTGTGTATTGGCTTGTTCAGTTTAATTGAAAGTTAACTCATTTTGTTTTATTACAGGCATTTGGAAATGCAAAAACAGCACATAACAATAACTCCAGTCGTTTTGGAAAATTTATTCAAGTCAACTATTTAGAGAATGGTATTGTCCGAGGGTAAGTATGGTATGAGGATTTTCTAGGGTTGGGCTGTGTCCTCTTAGGAATTGGTAAAGGCTCATATTCTGTATAAAATGCTGCCTTAAGGAGGCATTTCTCATGTGAGAATAGCTTCCCACTGTGGATAGGCTTTCAAGGCTCAAAAAATTTGTGAAGTTTTGTGAAATATTCAGGTGATGCAACATCTGTTTTTTTTATCTGAAGGACGATGATCTAGGCAAATGTGAAATATTCTATACTGATGTTTATTATTTTAAGCATATGATAAATAGTCATAGCTGACCATTAAAATTGCATTTAGATTTTTTTACCCAGTAGAAAATGTTATAATGTCATGTCATGTTAGTGTAGTCCCTCAGTGAAAGGGGAAGTCACTCAATATTATTAATCCAAATGATTATACTTTTCTCTTGTTAGGAGTGGACATTTTCACTTCAAGTGAAAAACTGTCAAAAATTTTCTACGCTGTTAGAGATTTGTCTGTAAATACTTGTCTAGTTGCCTGGCTAACATCATGCCATGAAATAATTTCATCTAGCTCCTGCTTTGTGAATGCTTCTGAAATTCTTAGGGTCTCTAACTGCAAAATACACAGCAGTATGTTGCATATGTTGTCAAGATGTATCCCTGCATGGGGTTCAATGCCCTTGTGCAGTATGTTGGAATGGCGTTCTACCTTGTACCATCAGCTGAAGCTTGCTGTGTTATGGAGCGTTGCTAGCTATCGCTCTGTTTTTGCTTTCCACCATATCTTTCCTTTGGGTTTTCTTCGGGTTTGCAATTTACAAAATAGCAATAACATAAACAACTGGGAACTCTGTACCACAATTGCTTTGAGTGTTAGTCTGAACAAAATTGGCATCTTTACAGATGAAGTCACACCAGCTCAGAAGATTGGTACCATTTGAATTCATTTGTTTTATCTTCAGTGTGAGAAAAGCTGCTCCAACTTTGGCTTCGTTCTTTGTTTATACCCCATGTGAAGGAGTTCAGGTTATTATTAAGGTGCCTACTCTGTCAAAATGTAAAGAATTCTCTGACTCACTGGCCTCCGTTTGAGGCTGGCGGATGTACTGTCGTGAAATCTATCAAATTTGTTAGGTTCAGAAGCAGCCAGTTATTCAGTGTATTTTTGGGGGGGTCTTGGTAGTCTTTGCATACTTGCAAGATATCTATTAATCCTGGAGTAGATAACAGGTTGTTAGCACTTTAAGTATCTTGTTTCTGCTTACAATTTTACATCAATACTTTTCTCAGCTTCATGTGCCTCTTTCTAGTCATGTCTGCTAAAACTAAGCAAGATAGGTGTTTCCTGTGTATTTCTTTTCATTGTCCCAAATACAACATAGAACATACTGAATTTTTTGTTTTAGGCTGGAGATAGTAACTGAGTCATTCTCTCATGTATTCTAGTGCAGATCTCATTATTTGAACTCTCTTGGCAGTTGCTGTCTGATGTTTTGGTGGGAGGACTTTTTTTTCCCCCCTTCATGTTTTTTTTCTTCCTCTTTTGGGGCACTTCAGGGCTGTTGTTGAAAAATACCTTCTTGAAAAATCTCGTCTGGTTTCTCAAGAAAAAGATGAAAGGTAAGAGATTAGTACTGTGTCTACTAGCACATTTCAACTGTAAGCTGAATGCAGCTGTTGCGTAGTTGGTATGCACGCTTATCTTGCATACAGTTAGAATATATACTTATATATGTTGCTTTAAGAACAATTAAATCCTGTTGTATTATTAACATGCTGTCTTGCATGTTCGTAATTGATATGAGAGTTTAAAAGCATTTCAAGTATACAGAATAAAAGAAAAATCATTATATAGTAATGAAAAAGAAATGTATTTGAAATGTGTTTGTAGGAACTACCATGTCTTTTATTATTTTCTTCTTGGACCTCAAGCAACCTGAAGATTATTTCTACCTCAATCAGGTAATCTGTGATGGAGATTTACAAATGCGTAGATAAGTGCTACGTGTTTGATATTGAGTTAGAGATCAAAGAAAACAGAACAGATTATACTTGTTTTCTTGTGATATGTTGGGAGATCTTGTTTGCCCTTGATTGTGGGGCTCTTTTCACAGCATAACTTGAAAATTGAAGATGAGGAGGATCTCCGGCATGACTTTGAGAGATTAAAACAAGCCATGGAGATGGTTGGCTTTCTTTCAGCCACAAAGAAACAGTAAGTAGACTCCTTTAAGCCTTTCTTACAGATAGCTAGTTAATGATCATGAATTGCACTAAACCATATGGTGGGTGCTGTAGCATCTGTCTTAAGGTCACATTTCGTTCAGTAAAAGCAAGGAGAGCTGAACGTTTGTGAGTGCTTGTGGACAGATTCTGTTGTCTGTGTTTCCTGAAGTAGAATTAGGTCTGTTCAACTGTTATAATGCTGCTCATAAGCAAAATTATTGTAAAATCAATTTTTCTTCCTCAGGATTTTTTCAGTGCTTTCGGCTATTCTTTATTTGGGCAACGTTACTTACAAGAAGAAAGCTACTGGTCGTGATGAAGGGTTGGAAGTAGGACCTCCTGAAGTGTTGGACATTCTTTCACAGCTTTTAAAAGTAGAGTATTTCTCTTTAGCTCTAAAGTTTAATACACTTTCTTGTCACGCTTAGGATGCTCAGGAACTTACTTGAATGTGTTGCCCAAGTTTGCTATGTCTAGATCTGGTGTATGAAACTCCCAAAACACCCATCTTACAGAAGAGGAAATGGATCGGGCTAGTGAAATTGTTGGGGTTAGGGAGGGGAAAAAGAGAGGGAATATAGCCCATAGTTGATAAGTAAGATTTGTTTATTCACTAATCACAGCACTGAGTAGGAATAAATTTACTGGGGATGGATGCTTTACCATCATAGGGAAGGAAGTGAATGAATGTAAGATGAGAATAATTTAAAGAAGCTGAAGAACTCGCAAAGTTATAGCTGAGAGACAACTGAAGCTGTTGTCAAAGTGCTTGGCCTTTTTTGAGGAAATGGTAATGTCCACTGTTGCCATCGAATTACTCATTGGGTAGTTATTGGGTGGCATTAACTCTTGTTCTTGCTTGTTTTGAAGGTCAAACGAGAAATTTTAGTGGAAGTGCTGACAAAAAGAAAAACTGTGACGGCTAATGATAAGCTTATTTTGCCATATAGTCTCAATGAGGTGAGTGTGAAAGAACACTAGGAGAATTATTTTAATGTTATCCTGTTGATTGTTCTGGGACGTGGGGAAAAAAAATAAAAAAAAAAAAATCACAAATCCAGAAAAAAGTCCAATATAAAATTTTGCCTTAGCTTTTAAAATGTCAAATTTCAGTAGCATAGCAATAGGGTTTTAACTAATGAAGTATACTGGAATAAACAATGTCAAACTTCCATAGTTGGCTACGAAAAAGCTAATATGGTACACTTTCATGTTTAGTGAGGGTTGTTGCTGTTTGGAACACTAGAAGTTAGTGTTAAAGGCAAATTTTATTTTATCTCTGAAAGAATCATAACCTTTAAGTGACACTAGTCTGAAATATAAATGCTTTTTTTTAAAAGAAAGTTCTGAACTTTGTTTCATCTGCAGGCAATAACAGCTCGTGATTCAATGGCAAAGTCCTTGTACAGTGCTCTGTTTGATTGGATTGTTCTGCGAATTAATCATGCGCTTCTTAATAAGAAGGACATGGAGGAATCTGTTACAGTAAGTTCCTCACTAAAACAAGTCTTTGTTGACAGTTGTATATTTAGAGCTATCAAAGAGTGCTACAGATGACATGTTCAGACATCTGGCATAAATTTTGAACTTTCTGAAGTCTGAGATAAATTTCTTGCTAATATTAAATCACAATAGATGTAACTGTTAAATATTTGAAATCTGTTAGCATATACTGCAGTATTTTTTGTAATGGTTAGCTATTGCGGGTTAGGTCACTGTATGATAGATTGTGTAATTGGGTTTCCTCATCTTCTTCCTTTAGTGTTTGTCCATTGGTGTACTTGATATTTTTGGATTTGAAGACTTTGAAACAAACAGTTTTGAACAGTTCTGCATAAATTATGCAAATGAGCAGCTTCAGTATTATTTCAATCAGCATATTTTCAAATTGGAACAGGTAAGAAATTAGAGTGGCCAGAACAAATACTTCTTTTTATCAAGGGCTCATCTGTTATGCAAACTTAGAATCATCTTTCTGCAAACCTTACAGCATAATTTTTGTAACTGCTTGAGTATATCTCCAAAAGTCTTACTTTTCAATTTCTTGTTGTAATATAGCTTGTTATGGTGTTGTCTGAAGGTTGCAGTTTTGCTATGTTTAGCATTCTGCTTACACTAGCGATAGCTGGGTTTTTCTTTAGAGAGCTAGCAGTGAGTTTCTGCCTGACTGCAAGAAACAAAAAGACTTTCAGGCAACCCCAGGCATCAGGGAGATGAAATTGCAAACTTTGAGGTTGCAGTATGTAGTATTTTGTCAACAATATGTAGATAACTTTAAAGAAGCATTTTAAAGAGAAGAAAATTACCCAACATACGAAATTCATATGTAAACATAATGTTGAGCTCCCTATTTTGTAACTTATGACACAAGTGGCTCTCTGGACTAACTAGAGTAAATAGTTATATTATTTTCTCTTCCTAATGCCATTTTTCCAAATAAGCTTAATCCTTGAGTGTCCCATTTCCTGTATCTCTTTCTGCATGAGGGCCCTTAGGGGTTTTCTGTATATCTTTTAAAGAAGGGCTTTATTGTTTGTGAAAAAGGGTATTTCAGTTCTGTAATGTGATGTGCACACTGAGCAGATTCACTAGACGAATTCAATTCTACCTACTTAAAAACAATCAATTTCTTATCATCCTCATATAGAACAGTATGAGAGTATTTGTCTTTTGCTAAACATTAAAGTTAGTTCAGTTAATTCTCTGTGGGATATCTTTTTTTAGGTTTGTAGCTTATTTTTTAGCTTTTTCCTTGGGCATTCACAACATTAAGAGAAACTGGTATTTAGGTTCTATGTCTTGATGTGAAGTGTGTCCTGTCAAGCCATTTGATGCAATGTTATTTCAACACAAGAGCTTTGTACTCTTTTGTTAAAGAGAGCTCCAAACTTTCTGAACCTAGCAATGAGCATTGCTTCCTGGGGAAGTTTCTGCATTGATATTTTGTAGAACTTAACCTAAGTTTCAAAACAGGCAGTTATTTCCTCTGACAGTGCAGTTTGGAAATTTTGGAGCTTAACACTAAATATTTGTCATTTCTCATTATGGAATAGAAAAATAGACTTAGATCCCTTGAATATATGTCTACTTAGGGTTTTAAATGTAATGATGTAGATGTAAGGTCTGACTACCAAGTATATATAGACTACCGATTGTTAGTTAGGCACGACAGTGGAAGGATTATTCTCACTGTTTTGGTTTGTAAACAGTTTACTCTAAACATCTGCTGCTGAGTGACTTGCCTAGGTGGACCTTTGATCTGACCCAGTATGCCTGCTGTTCTGTTCTTATTTATAAGTTTTCCTTGTTTTTGTTTCTGCTGCCTGAACTAACAAACTCAACTTACCATAGCTATTCAAGAATGTCTTTTAAGCAGTTAGACCACAGGGCATTAAAGGTCAGGGCACTATACTGATGAGGAAATTTTCTTGAGCTACACAGGAGGAATATAAGAGTGAAGGGATCAGTTGGCATAATATTGACTATACTGATAATGTGGCCTGCATTCACTTAATCAGCAAGAAGCCCACTGGCCTCTTCTATCTTCTGGATGAAGAAAGCAAGTAAGCATCAAATACCTTCCAAAAAACCGCTTGTGTGACAGGGAGGAGGGAAGGACTGTGGATGGTGGAAAGGAACAGAAATACAGCACTTGCAAAATAAGAGGAACGTTGTGGGAAGGGCATTGTCATTTCTTGAGTATGATCTAGGCTCTAGTTTGTTTGTAGTGATTCCAATATGATGGTAGGATAAATTGATGCTGAAATTAAATTTTGGTTTAGGCAGACTTAGAAACTTTTGCTTTTGTGTTTTACTATGTAATTAGAATTAAAGTAAATGCATGCATATGAGCCTTTGGGACAGTAAGCAACTAAATGTGGTAATTAGTAAATGTGATACTGACAGAACTTAGTTGGTGAAGTGGGAGGAAACATTGATGTGTTGAAGTACAGTTCAAAGTTCAGAATATTCTGTTACATTAGGAGCTGTTTGGGTTTTTTTCTGTCCAAAAATTAACCCAGCAGCCAACCTCTCAATCCAAAGGAAGTTGTCAGTAATGCTAGATTTAGAGACTTCAGACAATAATTTTTTTCCATAAGGGTGAATATTTGTTCTTCAGTCTGACATCTTGCACCGCAATAAACTTATCTGTATTTGGAGAAGAACAGCTAACACTGTTTTGTGTTCCTAGTTTTCCACATGCCACCAACCAAACTCTACTTGCAAAATTCAAACAGCAGCATGAGGAGAACAAGTTTTTTGTTGGCACCCCAGTGATGGAGCCTGCTTTTATCATCCGACACTTTGCTGGGAAAGTTAAATACCAGATAAAAGTAAGTGGTAGCTCTTATGATCATGAAATAAATGTGTTTTCCTTGTTGACTTGCGTGGGTATAGAAAACTCGCTGAGAATGGACTAATCAGGTGTGTCCTTGTATGTGTTTTAGATTTTTTTGTTATGGACTTGGATAAAATGCTCACTGTAGTGAGAATTACTTAGAACGGTGAATTATTCTGAATAGCAATGAATCTCTTGGCTCAAAACACAGTTCTAGGTTGTGTCTGTGTAACTGCTTTGCTGAGAGCTTGTGGTTCAACGTTCCTATTTTGCAGGATTTCAGAGAGAAAAATATGGATTACATGAGACCAGATATTGTTGCTTTACTACGAAGTAGTGACAGTGCTTACGTTCGGGAGCTGATAGGAATGGACCCTGTAGCTGTGTTCCGTTGGGCTGTTCTGCGGGCAGCTATTCGAGCAATGGCTGTCTTTGCAGAAGCTGGACGACAAAGAGCTCAGAAGACCGCAGGTATGATCGGTGAAAAAAACACTCTGGAAACGCTTTCAAATACTATACGACTGATTAATGCTTGTTGACAGAGCTAGTTAACTGCAAAACCTTATCATGCGAATGTGATCTTAGTTGATACTGAAGACAAAACTGAGTTGTGAAAATGACTTAACGTGGACATGCCAAAAAGGTTGTCACTTTTTTTTATCTGAGCTCGTTTGGAGTTCCACCTCCAGTTAGTGCACTGTAGCCAGCAGGCTATGCCAAGTTTGAAGTCATATTTGTAAAAGATGGAGGAGGTACTGCTAGTTCTGGTACTGCTAGTTCTGGTACTGCTAGTTCTGGTACAGTTCTTCCTATGACTGTTTATTTTGATCTTTATTGATCTTCCCAGATTTCCCTGAGGTTTCAGACAAGTATTCAAGGTGAAAGTTTAGTTTGCAGAGCTTTTCTGAGCAGCTGCAGCTTACTTTGTAGTAGTAGGTACTTTGAGAACCAGAGTGAGTGATCTAGCTTAATAGCTAAAATATTAGAGGAAAAACTCCAGGCCCTAGGGTTGATATTTTTCTTCTTATAATTGGTGGGGGTTTTGTCTATTATCCTGGTAGCTTTTTCAAAATTCAACCTATTGATTATTTCATAATAGGAGTGGTGCGCCAAGGACCCCGAGTTCCCCTTGGAGAACTCCAGAGAGCAAATACACCAGTAGAAAAAGTTTACCGGTGAGAAAAACGTACCTAACTCTTATCTTGTAGCTTTTTAAATGGAACAATGGAAAATACCCAAACGTAGTAAGACTTGACAGCCCATGAGCTGGGAAAAAGACCTGAATTGCTGAGTCACACTTTCATTTATCAAATATCAACTTAGATCTTTCCCCAAGGATAGCAAGTTTTATTTCTTCCCTGTCTTGTTTTGTTTGGCCTTTTTAATACTATCAAAACAATATTCTAGCTATGCTCTGTGTAAGACCCGTTGCTGCCAAATGCTGGTGACACAGCCTGAGTCCCATTTACCACTGGGTTTCTGAACGCTCCAAATGTATTTTGTGTATATTGCTGTTAGCACTGTATGTTCCTGTGCAGCTAGTCTGTGATCACTGAAGAATTCATAGGAGCACTCATTTTTTTGCAGCCTTCTTATTTCTAGGAATATGGAAATGACATGATTAGAAGGCAGGGCAAGTCCTGAACTGGCTCCAAACATTGCTCTATATAGGCATATTTGCCTTGCTATGGAGTATTTAGGTTCTATACGTGTTCCTTTTGCAGCTACTCAATGCTTGATTTCTCATTTGATTATTCTGAGGATTTCGATATAAATGCTTTTGAAGACATCATTTCTTTTTATGAAAACAAGAAGTAAGTAGAAATAGGCCTGGACTTAAAGGCCAGGGAGGCACATTCCTGGACAGACTGGCCTTCTGAGCATGCTCTGTGTGGAAGTGAAGCCTTGAAGTGTAGTATACGTAAAGTAATCACTTCATACTACTTCATAATTATTACGTCCTGGACGGTCTCAGCCACTTGTGGCAACTAAGAAGTAAAGGTGCAATTCAGGGAAAAGGATTGGTCAATGTAACACACCTGTTCCCTTGCAATATCTTAAAACAAAAACTTGATATTCTAAAAATGTTCCAGCAGTACTGGGGAAAACAAGCAACTCTCTGTAATAGTGTTGCTGCTGCCTCACGGAGCAGCTCAGAATGGTGATTGCATTTTATGGTCAGAAGTGACTCTTATACTTCTGTTATTTTTGGTTTGTGCCTCTCTGGAGAGTAAAGAAGGTAAGTTCTGTGCCAAGGCACATCACTCCCCAAGCATGGTGCATGCTTAAAATAATGAATCCACCACTAATTAGGGACCATCCCAGGCTTACTTTGAAAAGCTAAATGTATGCAAATAAGTTTGAAATAAACAATCAAATGCATCTTAATGAAACTTCAAATATTCCTGCATTATCTGCTTTCTAATCTACTCTTCTGAGGTGAGCCTGCTAGGCAGCCTCATTGCAGTATTCGAATCTGTTTAATCTATTCAGGAAATAGATACAAATATTTACAGCTAGATTACAAGGAAGCTGTATCTATCTAAAAAGGCTACTTAGCTTAACAAAAAGTTTTCTTGCACGTTAAGTTAATGCACATGTTAATTTTAAACGCAAACAGAGGAATTTAGTGGCGCAAGAATTTACACAAAAAGGTAGAATTAGAAAATACCTTAGTATATGATACTGATATTAAAATTTAGAGTAGAAAGTGCTGACTTGACATCAGAATAATTCATTTTTAGGAAAAAGTAGTCTGGGATTGGCCTGCTACTGTTTGGAGCACACTTGGTGACGGGATCTCTTGGTGATTTTTTTTTTTTTTTTTAACTCCTGTTTTCTCCCTCGTGGCTGTATATCTTTGTTTGCCATCTTTGTTTTGCTGTGAATCATTTTAGAGACATGCATGAACAAATCATCGCGAGTATAAAAGGACTTCCATGGCAGGGTGATGACCCATGTAAGCTGCTTCGGTCACTCAATCGACTTCAACACCGCTCCCACTTCATGTGAGTTCTGGTGCTAGGTATTCCTTTGAAAGAGCAACAATAATCAACTAATTATTCTAGTCCATGAAAAAGTGTTCTTGTCCCAAACTTGTCACCTGCAAAACCCAAACAAGGCAACTATGAACAAAATATTTCCTTCAAAAAACACGAAGCCTGTAGAGAATGCTTTGTTACTTCCTTTGCGTTAGCTGATGGTTAAGCCTGCTTTTTGTGTGAATTTGCTTTAAAACCCAAGAACACAGTTTAAGTTTGTTGCTATGCATGTGTAAGAAAATCAATCTGTAGTATGTTGCACAGAGTTGGAATGTGCCTTACGTCAAGGAGTTGGCACACTTAGAACTAGGAGGATGTTAGCTACAACCTTGTTTCTGACAACTTGAGGTTGTGGCTCACTGTCTTTGTGAGGATCGCGGAGCATGCCTGAGGTTTGTTTATTGCCCCAGGAAGTTCTGGAGATGATCTCAGACGTATTAGAATTCATAAATGGAGTGCTGTGACATATGCTGTCCTTCTGTGAGCAGTTAAGTGCTTTCACAGGGGTTCTTGTTCAAGCCACAGTAACTTCTGAGTCAAGTGTTTTTACCTGATAGCGCCTTGGTATGAAGAGATTTTGGTGACTATGCAGTTAGAATAATAGAATGGAGTAATAGAATAATAAATTGTACAAAAACCAGTGCTACAACAGTAGTTTTTAATAGATTTGACTTCAGATACAGTGTTTCACTTTTGAAAGCTTCCCATGCCTACAGTGTTTATTTAAAAACAAACCAAAAAAAAAGTTGCGAAGCAGTTTGCATTTTTTGCATTGGTCGCTTATAAGACAGTCTGTGCATGAATACACCTCAATGATGTTGTGCTCATTTTCTTCTGTCCTTCATCTTGCCTCATAAATTGCACCAGTCTATGGCTTGCTGGAATAACCAAAAATCATATGTTCTTTTTCTTAAATGATCTTTAATATTTTAACAGGAAAAGTAGAGGTATCAAACAAAAGCAGATCACTCCCAAGGTAAAGTTATTTGAATAACTTAGATTTCTCTCTTGTTTGTTGTGTGAACTGAATGTGAACGTTCATTTTGATTGACAGAACTCACTTCAGAAAAATACTGTTTCATAGTATAGGGAACTTCCCTTTTGACAATCAAAAGGATAGGTAAACGTTCATCTTTGTAAGAAGAGTGGAACAGAAGAAAACTATCCTGAATTGGGACATCTGTTTAATTAGACTAGCTAAAGGTGCCATAAATATGTAAAGCTATTTCTAGTCACTATGTTTGCCTTTCATGACTTGACTATGTAATTCACCTTGTTCCACTTGCGCTCTTGGGATGGGGCAGTGCAAAGTTTTCACTCTTGAGGAGAGGTTTTAGTGTGAAAAATAGAGAGTCATCAAGCATACCGTGCCACTGAATGTGGAGCTGACTAGTTGGTTTTGTTCTTATTAATTCTCACGTAGATGGAAATATTTCCCATTCAGTTAAGTGACTTGTACTTTGTGTTGATTATGAAAACTTTCTTTTAGAACTTGCTGGATTCCAAGTCTCTGAAGCTCATAGTAAGCATGACTCTGCATGATCGAACTACAAAATCCCTCTTGCATTTGCACAAAAAGAAGAAACCCCCTAGCATAAGTGCACAATTCCAGGTAGGTGACTGATGTGGTGGTACGCAACTTGCGGGTGCAATCTAAGCACCCATTTGAGAACAGACCTTCCTGGGACTTGCATGCTAATTCACTATTTCAGGATATTTGCTATAATGGGGTTATGACAATCTGAAGCGCTGCAGTAATGTTGCTTTTAGTATCTAGTTTTTATTGAACGCACGTATAGTACTGCTAAGAAAATTGCTTCGTTGATCAACAGCATAGGCTGTTTTTTGAAATACTTGGCGGGGGAGGAGAGATTGTGCACTTTTCTTCCATAATGCCCTTTTGGAGAGAGAAAAAAAAAAAAAAGGGACAAATATGTGGCATCTAGGGTGATTTTACTTGAAAAACAAAATGGTTTTCACTCTTGGGATTTGTTAAAGTAGGGATTGTTACTGTAATCGTTAGACTGCAATTAACTTTTCTTATGCTACAGTGTGTGTTAGTCTCTGTACAACCAGCCTCATCCTCATCTGTACACAGATCCAGTGTTACTGTAACAGCATATTCAAATCCCACTTTTCATTGGCTTGAGAAAAGGTAAAGCAAATATAGGGGTATGCTGTGCGGTATTGAAACACCTCCATATTGGATGAAATAGAATTTGTATCAGACCTGAAGGAGCTTGTATTCTGAGGAAGGAGCTGTACTGCTGCCAAGTGCAACTCAAAATGTTGATTTCTGAAGAAAAAATACTTCCTTTCAGACTTCGCTTAATAAATTATTGGAGACACTGGGGAAAGCTGAGCCGTTCTTCATCCGTTGCATCCGCTCCAATGCTGAGAAGGTAAGACTACCTTAAGAGTTGATCTGATTGCTGAAGTCGTAAGTCTTCTAGGCCCTATAATATATCTTGTTCACTGTCATTCTGTATGAAGGTGGAAGGTCACCAGTGTATGGAAGTGGAACGTCTACCGGACAATAGCAGGACAGTTCAGGCAATTACTAGATGTTGACTTCTGATCTTTTTCAGAAAGAGATGTTTTTTGATGAAAGCTTGGTGCTTCAACAGTTAAGATATACTGGCATGCTAGAAACTGTGAGAATCAGAAGATCTGGCTACAGTGCCAAATATACATTCCAGGTATGTAAGGAACTGGAAATGGATTATGCATTTGGGAATATTTGCAGCTGTTGAAAAACATGCATTGCCTCTGAGTGATCTAACAGGGTCTTTCATGTCTCTGTTCATATAACACTTGTGACCATTCTGAATGAACTGTAAAAATCCATTGTAGTTTTGACAGAGCCTGCATGGTGACAAGTTTTAGTCTAAACTGTTGTGTAAGTCACCTACCAGTAAGTTGTTCTATCTGTTGCATGGAGGAAACCATTCTGAGCACTGCCACGAATATAAGCAGTCAGTGTTACACACTAGGGTCTCTATATGTGAATTTGGTTTCTATAAAATACTTTGTGCACATAGCTTTATAGATCATGTAGAGGTTATCTGTAAAGCATTAAATTTAAGCAGAGACTGAATGAAGCCTGCATTTTACAGACTGGGGAAAAAGTAAGATTTGGAGGGAGAAATAAGTACTTTCAAACTCTTACAGCTCAGATGATCAAGCTTAATTTTGGAAATCTAGTTAAAACTCTAGACTCATGAATCATCTTCTAAATCTGATCTCTTACTGTCTCTGCTTTTCACAGGAATTCATAGACCAGTTTCAGGTGCTACTGCCCAAAAGTGCTAAAGCATCTAAGGAAGACATTTTTGCTTATTTGAATAAACTAAAACTGGACAAAAACTACTATCAAATAGGGAAGACCAAGGTCTGTAAAACTTTGTATAATCAAGGCAATTATAAGAAACACTAATATACACAGTGAAATTTAGTGCAGTTCATTTACAGGTGTTGCTCTTTTCTTCTGCAATTCACACTAAAGTTAGCTATTTTAACTGTTGTAAATGTTGACACAGACATTGGTAGATATAATTTGTAATGATTCTGTCTTCTTACAGTACAGTAGAGAATACAATTTCTGTACTGTAAGGATGTTCCTTCTGGGAAATTGTTGCTAATAGCATTTATCAAAAAGGTCAATGTCTTTAGGATTTTGTGATTTGAAGGCAGTAAGCATACAAGCGTGTTTTAGAATCCTAGCACTTGGATTAGTAAAACAAAAGGATTGTTACTTCTTGGGAGCACTAACTGCTGTCAGCAGTAGTAAGTCTTCCTCTCCTCATTTTCTAGCTTGTGTAGATACCTCTAGAAGATCTCTTATCTGTTTGTTGATGACCTTTTCTGTAACTGTGAGCAGGTTTTTATGAAAGAGGCTGAACGGCAGATACTACAGGATACACTACACAAAGAAGTGATCAGGAAAATCATTCTTCTTCAGAGCTGGCTGAGGATGGTTTTGGAAAGGAGACGCTTTCTCAGAATACGGCAAGCAGCCGTTGTTTTGCAGGTATGTTTGACTGAAAATTGCCTTTTTTTTCTAAAAACCACTTCAAGTACCTCCTCCTAACTTCAGAAATCTCCTTTCTTAGGCTTGGTGGCGCTCCTGTTATGTTAGGAGGGAACTGGAGAAGAATAATGCTGCCACTTGTATTCAGACAGCATGGCGAGGATACAGGGAACGAAAATACTACCTTCAGCAGAAGAATAGAATTTGTCTTGTGCAAGCCGTGGTTAGAGGACACCTGCAGCGTAAGAGGTAAAGGAAGAGAAGCAATAGGGTATGAACATATGCATTTTAGCCAGTTGGCTGCTTGACTATGCCTGCTGAATTCAGTTTCTGCGGGATGAATTTAGTTTCTGTGAACAACTGAAGATAGTTATTACCATGTGATCCTGCAGTCAGTATCAAATAGCCAGTAGCGTGTGGAGACTGGTTAAGCCCTTTGTACTTGAACATTATTCAGCTGGGCTGCACTGATGTGTGCCAGTCCTAATAACCAGTCCTCCATGCAGTCATGCTGGGGCTGTAAGTATTTTTGTGCTCTGCCTGTGTCACTATTTAGGCTGTTTAAACTATGGGGTGTTTTTCTTTGCCACTGTACACTAAATACTTCTGTGTTCATCTTTCAAACTTTTAATAGATTTCAGAAAATGGCTGTGGAAAAGCAGAAAGCTGAAGAAAAACAGAGAGAAATGCAGGAAACTCAAGACAGAGAAAATGATATGAGTAAGGACGAGGGCAATGAACCAGCAACAGATCAATTGCCTGTGATACATGAGTCAGAGCTGGATCAAGCGGCTGTGGGCATTGATGAAGCTCCAAATAAGCAAGCTGAAAACCTGAGCTCGTCTTCTGAAAAAGCTGCGTTATTCCAGAAGAACACGACAGGGAACTCTGAGAAGGTAACAAACAGTCGGGAGAAACGTGAATCTCGCCGGCAGAGGGGGCTGGAACATAATGAATTACAGAATAAGCTTGTCCTGTTTTCCTTCGAGGGACCACCTTTACTGTGCCTTGAGGAAAAAACCTCTTCTGAAGAGGCCCCAGAAACTGTTGAAGAGCCAAAGAAATCCACAGCACAAGATACTGTCATTCAAGAAAATCGCAAGGAAAAGAAAAGTCCAGGCGAAGGAGAAACCCTTTCAGGCACGCCCCTATCAAGTGACATAAAAGAAAGTGGTTCCATTCCTGAGCAATCACCTGAATCGGAAGTGGAAAGAGTAGATGATAAGGCTGTTGAGGGAGTCAAAACACAAGAGAACCAAAAGAACCAGATAAAAGGCAGCCAAAGCTTTAACTGCCCTGAAAGGCCAACAGATCTTGCACTGAATGTTAAAAATATTCTACCTGCTACTGGGAGCTTTCGAATTCCAGCTGAACGTTGTGCAGATAAAAACAAACGTCTTGTTCAGAAGACGACCAAAGATCTCGATAGTCCCACTTCTTCCCCGATTCAGAGATATGTGGATGACCCCGGGAAACTAAAGTATAAGAGGGAGAAGTGGAAAGGAAAGAGACAGTCTGATGCTGGTCACAATGACATCCTGAGTCAGTCTTTGGATGAAAGAACGCATGTGGATCGGTCTCCTCAGGATCAGCTAGAGTAAGGGCAGCTTCCTAATTATTTTGACTTTTTCAAAGAGTTTTCTGTAATATTTGAAAATAGATGGAGAACTCTTCACAACCTGTATGTCTGGCCACGTAACGGGGGAAAAATGAACTATGAACAACGGCTGCTTTTTCATGGCTTTAAGTCTCCGATCCTACCGTTGAATCTGTATGGGTGGAATGTTTTCCAAAGCTAACGATAGATAATGAAGCCTGCCTTACTGAATTGAAATGGAGAGTCAGGACTTCAGCTTAAAAATAGTTTAGAGATTATTGTCTTGTTTCTTGCTCGTTAAGAAAAAGATTTTAGTGACTTCTGGTTTCTTCATCACTCTGTTGCGGCAGTAAATCTGGTAGACCCATTTTTTTTATTTCTCCAATACATTTTGCATTTAAAAATAACTTGCAAGAGTTGATCAGAGTTTTCTGTTACAGATGTAAGTAACATTGATATGTGGGTTATTTAAAAATTAGTAAGTATTAACAGGCTAAAGAGTTCTGTGAAAAATACATTCTGAAACTAATCTTGTCACTTTGCAGAAAGAAGGGGAGTTCATCTTCTTTAAATGATCTCTCTTCCCTGACTCAGTCTGTTGCTGTGAATCAGGTATGGAGGCTATGGAAAGATGTGCGTATTTATACTTAATTATCCTTATTTATACAGTTTAAAGATTCGTGAATAACTGTAGTGCGTTCTGGATGCCTGTGTTCCTTTCGGGTTGCTTTTTGGCTTGATATCCAAGTAACAGGACTTCTTTACCAAATACTATGCAACAATTTGAGAACTCTTAATTTTTTTTCACAAATGGACTCTTGATCAAAGCCATATATATACTGGGATTTTAGTTTAGTAAGGTAATACTTAGTAGGTAAAGAAGTGTTTTCTCTTGACCGGGCAAACTTTTTCACCATTCTGATTTTTATAAGACCATTTAAAGAATCTTTTTCACTTAGTTTGTAGTTTTTTGACTCCTCCTTCTTCTCTACTGTAGCAATCACCAGATACAATAGAAGAAGAAAAGGGCAACAAGAAACATCCTGTGCAAAAGAAGTTCAGTGAACTCCTACCTACCGGGGATTCAGCTGTTTCCATGCAGCCACCAAGTCAGCAGATAGATGCCAAGTATGTATCGCGTGTCTGGCTTTAGACTGCCTTTAACAAAATGAAACAAGGAGGTTTTCCCCCTGGTACTGGCATTGGGCATCTTGAGAGCATGACTGTGGAAAGAGACGTACGTTGACATCAGCTGTGTGAGTGACTGCGGTCCTGGTTGATTTGATCTTCGTGTTGGTGTAAGAATGATATCTGAACCTCTGAAGGGAAAAAAAAATAATGCTGCTTATGTAACTCATGGCTTTAAACTGGTTCTTTTTAACTTAAGAACCAACACAGAGGATTAGATTGAAGGTCCATCTAGTATACTGCCGTCCAGAGTGAGAAATAGGATGCCGAGGAAGAGCTTAAGAGCACAGCAAGCATTTAATGCTGTCTCCCTGCCCTGTTCCCTCAGCTGCTGGCATTCTGCTGTTCAGGGACTCCCTGAGCCGGAAGTGATGTCTTGGATATCTGATGTGCTGTGTCTGTGTATGTTGAAAGCAGTGCTCTAATGTAGTAAATATCAGAATGTCCAGATGTGCTTTCAGACTGTCTTTCCTTTTTTTCTGGTGACCGGTTTGTCTGCAGCTGGGACTTCAGAGTGAATGTCCACAACAGAGGTTATTCCCATCTTGGACATTAACTGTACTGTGAAATGAGCCTTTTCTTCTAGCATAGCCAGCTTCCATTACAGGTGTGACAAACTTGCATCTGCTTTTATGTTCAGGTCTACATTTAAAAGCCCTTTGCGTAGACTTTTGGGGAAGAAAACAGACAAGAAAATTCTGAAGGAGAGTCCTGATGTGATTGATGAAGGAGAAGGCCTTTCCTTTGTATCTTGTGTCCTGTTTGCAGAAACAGGAGGACCCCAGAAAGTTTCAGAAAGTGAGTTTCTGTGACTTTAGGAGAATGTGCAAGAATGCTTTAAAAGTCCTTCCCCAACTTCCTAATGTCATTGTTTCTGTAATGTTTTGCATGGCTACTGAGGAAATAAATGCTGCAGAATTCCATCATCCTGCTTTAGAATACAAATTAATTCCTTTTCCAGCTTCTTCTGGACAGCCAAGTCGCCTCCAGGTGGGAGAGCACCATGTAAAAGAGAGTAGTAAAACAAAGAAGAACCGTACTATTAAGATCAGCAAGATCTCGAGTGTGTCTCAGAATTGGCAAGCTCCCATGGTCTGTGAGATTAAAAATGCCAATGAACTGAAACATCTTGATGACTTCCTTCTAAACAAGGTAAAGTGAGCTCAAGTGTGATAAAATTCAGGTCAGTGTTCCCTGTTTGTGTGGAATTTCAAAGACAACTTTTCTAGGTGTAAGTTTCTATTATATTTTAAAGCAGAGGGGAATTGGTTTGATAAATTGACCAAATTAGGTCTGTATTAAGACCCTTTTTTTTCTTTCCTCTAAGTATTTGCATACATTATATTATATTACATTATATTCTGGTGACATTCATGTTAGTCCTTCATTTACTGTTCGCAAAAAAGTGCGCAGCAAAGGAGCAGTGTGAGTTTTAAGGAAGCAGAGGCAGTTCTTCAAAGTCTAACTCCTGTTGTCGTATCATCACAGCGCGTTAGGAAATGTTTTAAATAATTGGTATGGTCATAGACAACTAAGCCCAGTGACTGAAACTTAACACTGGCTGGATGTACTTGTTTTTATGAAATATGATGGAGATGTATTTGGCCTTTTAGATCAATGACTTGCACTCCCAGAAGTCTGGTGTTGAATGTTTATTTTTTGAAGCCACGGAGAAGTTTAGAGGAAATATCAAGACCATGTACTCTGCTCCTGTAAGTAGTAAATCTCAATGAAGTGAAAAGGTGATAGATAATTAAATGAATCAAGCATGCCGTTTAAGTGCTTGACCTACAGCTCTTTAACAAATGCAATTCTTAGCACAGAATTCAAAGTTGAATGTTAAAGCCGAAAAAATGATTGTATATTTCTGTACTGTAGTGTACATGTTACAGTTCTGCTGTTATCTTAAGCAAACAGATTACTTTGTTTCCCTCTTCTTATTCACTCAGCTCTAAATTTTTTTAGAAATGGCTGGATGTTAGTGTCTTCAGCCTCTTCAGGTTGCTGTATTTAATCATCTAAGATAGTTGCCAGCAGTGTTTCCAATACTCTTCCAACTCAGCTTTCTCTCAGCCAAGTACCCTTCTGCAGCATAGTAGAGAAGTATGCTAAGTTATTTCTGTCATGGGCTGTTATCTTTTACTTTAATCGTGAGCGTGCTTTCTTGTCTCTGAACTGAAACACGTATTATAAAACTCTGAAGCTACCAACCGTATTCAAAAGACTGTCTTCTGAATAATAATTCTCCACACTCCCCAGAACGGACAAATCCACGTTGGCTACAAAGATCTGGTGGAAAATTACCAGCTTCTAGTTACAAATCTGGCAAAAGAAAGGGAGGAGAAAGAAGTCAAGCTGGTCTTGAATCTCTTCCAGTCCCTTCTGGATGAATTCACCAGAGGATATGCAAAAAAAGAGGAATCTGAGCAGCACAAGGTATAAAACACACTCTGTTACTGACTTAATGGGATGATTAAACAATGGTACTGTCTTAGGGTAAGGGGCCCATGTTACCTCAGAATGCTTTCCCATAGGGATCTTTATTCTTTGGGAAACATTTTCCACACGTGATTCCTGCACGTTACAAATTTCAAATGGTGAGACACCTTTATGGAATGTCCGTTATTTAACTTGTCCTTATATTTTCCGAATCTTAAAATGTTGGAGTATTTTCGTGAAAGCTTAGAGGTCTCGGAAGGTTTTGGAGATGGAATTGCTTTATCAGCAGACAGTGAGGTCTACTGATTTTTAGGAAGTTCCGAGTCTGTGTGAGCTCGGACAACCCTCATACAAGTTGGAGCTGCAGTATAGTGTCTCAAATGTACAGAGATGAGGTAGAGTCTGCGGAGCTGAGTAGGGAGACCAGGGTATGGAATTCCTGAAATTCAAAGACTAACGCTAGTTCTGTACCCCATTACAGCAAAGCAAAGCCCAGAAGAAGAAACGAAAACAAGATCGTGCGGTGAGTACTTTTTCTTCAAGCGTGCAGAAAAACACTCTTGAAAGAGCTAATTTTGTACTGAAGCTCTGCTTTTCATGCTAAATCACTTACCTCTTGTATGAAGGTGTGATGCAATATGGAGTTGTTTTCTGTAGATCAAAGAACTTGCTTACATAGGGATAGGTGGTAATCCAGCATGTTTTTGCTTGTCATTAGGTCTTAAAAGATGCTATGGACTATCTCAGTCATGGGGCTGTTTACAGGAAAGCAATATTAATAACAAACTATAGCTAATATATTACATAGATGAACTTTAACCGAGGCACGCAAGTCATGAAGTGACCCAGCAAACCCACCTGCCTTTAGGCTAGGGTGAAATCTGGTTTCAAGATCAAGGCTATCAGCTGTAATTGCAAAAAAAAAAAAAACAAACAAAAAACAAAAAAAACCCCACAACTAAAATATGGTAGATAGCGTTTTAAAGAAAAGAAGCAAAATAATCCATTAGTTTCTCCCTGTCTCCCACCAGATTGAAGAACACAACGGTCACGTATTCACAAGCTACCAAGTTAGCATTCGGCAGTCGTGTGAACACTGCTCGTCCTACATCTGGCCCATGGAGAAGGCCTGTCTCTGCAGTGGTAAGTGGAAAACACTTCATTCTTGCCACTTAGTTGACAAAATGCACAGATTCCTCATAGCTTTGGCTGGTCCAAACAGGGCTTAGTGAGGAGTACATGCAGATTATATAGTGAATAAGACAGGGAATTTAGCCTTTTAATGTGCTTTGAACCGTTTGTCACAATTGTTCCTCTCTCTAGTTTGCAAGTTGACTTGTCACAAGAAATGCATGTCCAAAATCCAAAGCAGCTGCACGTCCTGTGAAAAAAAGGTAAGAGTTCCAATTATAGATCCAGAATCCCATGCTCTGATACCATGAGTGATGCACGTAAAATGCCATCCTTTTTGCTTCAACAAAGGAAGAACTGATGTTCAGGCACTGACTAAACATTGCTGAAAGAATTAAGTTCCCTTCTCTGCCTGAATATAGTCTGGCACAGAGCAAGGCCCTGCAGTAGCAGAAACAGCACATTTTTTTCTAAAAGATGGTACTCCAGGCAATCTAGGAACCTCCTCCTTTAGAGCATGTGTGCTATGTTGGACAAATTGTTAAAGAAAACACTTCATGTACTGCAAATTAAAGTTGCACATACTGCTGCAGCTTAGGGAGTTTACCTTATGATCAAAAGCTTGTAGCAAGCTAGAGTAAAACATTCAGCTTTTGTTTCTGGAAATGTAAGTTAATTGTAGCATGAAACACGATTGAATTTTCTAGCCTGGGAACAGGTATTCACAGTACTTGATCTGCATCAATTCTAGAATGAACAGGATGCGGAACCACGTCACTTTGGAGTATGTGTGAGTGCCCTGACCAGTGAGAGAAACTCAGTTCCCATTGTCATGGAGAAGCTGCTAGAGTATGTGGAGATGCATGGCCTCTACACAGAAGGCATTTACAGGAAATCAGGATCAGCAAATCGCATGAAGGAGCTGAAACAGTTGCTGCAAGCAGGTCAGACAAAGTTGTCCATGCTTCTGACTTCCTTGCATATCAATTTTCCTTGCTCTTCTCTTCCATTCTGAAAGCATCTGCCACTTTTTAGTGTTTCCAAAACAGCTTTTTTGAGGGCATGTTTTCGTTGTGCAGTCTGTATGCTGTGTATTGGCTGGAAAAAGCTACTTAGTTGATAAATGCCTATCAGGAGACTTTTTCTTCTTCTTCTTCCTCTTCTTCTTCCTCTTCCTCCTCTTTGAGTTGCTGTTTGGATTCTGTGAGCAGAGGCGACATAATATAGTGTTTCTAGGATTGCTTCTTTGGGATCCTGTAGTATGCATCAAAGGAATGAGCTATTCCAGGTGAAACATCTTTTTTCAGATCCCAATTCAGTGAAACTGGAGAATTACCCTATTCATACTATTACTGGGATCCTGAAGCAATGGCTACGAGAATTACCCGATCCATTAATGACATCTGCACAGTACAATGATTTTCTCCGAGCTGTAGGTAGGTTTTAGAAATGTTTGGAGCGGTGTTTTTGTTTGTTTTTTAAACTTGTCCTTTACTTGAGCATCTGAGAAGTCCTTTTCCCAAGTTGGCCGAACATCTTCCTTCCAGCTGACTTACAGCAACGATTCTAAAGTTTTGACGTAAAATGTTTTTCAGAGAAACTTTCCTCTAGCTTACTTAATCTGATTTCAGTATTCATTTTCAGTAGCATAATGTCACTATATTATATTGCCCTTTCTAAAAATAGCAAGAATATGAATGGGTTTTCCTTCATGATGGCTTTTTCTTCTCCTTCATGTTCTGGACTAGAGCTAGGCATCCGCATACCTCAGATATCCCTTAGATTCATTTAATTTTAGTGGGACTTGGGCACCTTAAAATGCCTTTAGAGACCTGGATGTTTCACTTGGTGCTTGCTAACAACAGCATTCGAAAGAGCAGGAAAATTGCAGTGCCATCTAGGGCACTGTAACATCCGGTTATAACTATTGGTAAATGAAGTGAAGGTGGTAGCTTCTTAGAAAGTAATCTCGAACTACTGCACAGAGTTTGAGACAACTTCAGGAGGTGCTTGGCTGTTTTCCACTGGTGTTGCCCAGCAGTTATGATCTTGTGTTTTCTCCCCTTGTGCAGAACTACCAGAAAAACAGGAGCAACTCTGTGCCATTTATAGTGTCCTTGAACAGCTTCCACAAGCAAATCATAATACCCTGGAGAGACTCATCTTCCATCTGGTCAAGTAATGAACTTTTTCTTTTTGACAGTTTTTTGCCCTCTTATTTTGAGGGGTGTGTGTGTGTGTGTGTGTGTTGCTTTTTGGAATCCCTCTTGGAAGCTTTCTAAAAGCTTGAACCCTCTCCTGAATGTCAGTTTAGGGATTGTGTTGCTGATTTAGGAATGAAAGAATTCAAGTTGATAATTGTGTTTAAAAATAGAGGCATTCTACCAGCTGGTCTATTTGTATCAAATCAGGTAAGAAAACTTTGAAAACAAGTTAGATCTCATAGGATTGATGAGTGGTCTGTATGTTGATAGGTGCATTAGTGCATCAAGGATGTTAGCCTATTTGGTAGGGACTGCGTAAGGATTTTAAGTGCTGGCTTTAGGAGCAGAGGTAAAGGGGCTGCTTTCATCCAGGGAGCTTGAGAAGTTTGAGTGGCTCTGTGAACATAGATAAAAGTGAATTTTAGAGGAGGAACTAAATCACTAGCCAGATTTGCCATACTACCAAACTAGCTTGGCCTGGGTGGCTTCGTGTTCCTTTTTCTGATGCGTGAAACTTTGCCTGTTTAGTGGGTGTGAAATTCATCTTAAAAAAACATTTGCCTGAGCTGTTGTACGTACTTCAGTACCTTAGGGGTCTACCCATATCTGTGTTGGAACTCTCTGGCAAAGTTTGATCAAATTGCTTGTGTTCTAGCAAGATGCACTTAAAAAATCTTTTTTGCTCTGCACATTGAATTTCAGAGTGGCTTTGATAGAAGATGTCAACCGTATGTCACCCAATGCCCTGGCCATTGTTTTTGCTCCATGCCTCTTGCGTTGTCCTGATACCTCTGACCCTTTAACCAGCATGAAGGACGTTTCAAAAACAACAATGTAAGTTTTAGCAGTTTCCTGCAAAATAGTTCTTTGAAATACAGTGGAAGGACAGTACTACCACCTGCGTTTGTTAAAGCCTTGTGCGTATCAGGCTAAAAAAACGAGGATTAAGAGTTGCTGAAATCTGGCTCTGTTAGTGCATTAACCCTCCCCATTCTGGGGGGTTATATGCCAATTGTGTATTTTGCTGAGATGTAAATTAGTTTATTTCTACATTCTCCTGTTAAAATAATTGTCTCCTGCGTACTTGGCAATCCCCGACTCATTCCTTCTGAGATGCTCCTTAAGTGAGCAGAGATGCTCCTTGAAGGTTCTGCCCTTCATCCTCCTGACCCTCCAGCAGCTCTGGCTCTCTGAAAGCCCCTCAACATCTGCACTGCACGACCTGCCTCCAATGCAAACAGAGTTTGAGAAATGACTGCTTTTTCCGCAGAGGTGGAAAAGGGCAGTTCCGGGATCATTCTCTGTCTACCAGCGTGTGCCAGCACAGGCAAAGAAACATAGAGGATGCAGCAGCAGTTAGCAGCCATGATATCTGTTTATTTACCAGTGTTGTGTAAGAAAGTCTGGTTATCTCAGAGGAGTAACGTGCTATTTAACAGTCTGTGTCTTGTTTTGCTTGCCTTGGTGGACTCTTTACCGTTATCATGCAACGCTACCCTTGTAAAGCATGCATTGGAGAGACTTTTATTGCAGACGATTCACGTATGTGTGTCAAACATCCCCAAGCCAGATACATTAGAGGACGTGATTTGATACCTCCACGCGTTTGTGAGGCATCTCATCCCACCATGGTTGTCCCCAGAGCTCATATAGTGCAAGGCTGCTCACTAAACTCTTGGCCTTTTGTCCAGGTGTGTAGAGATGCTGATAAAGGAACAGATAAGGAAGTACAAGATAAAAATGGATGAAATAAATCAGCTGGAAGCAGCTGAGAGCATCGCTTTTCGACGACTGTCATTGCTCCGGCAGAATACGGTAAGTGTTGAAATAAGCCACAGAACCACACCATCCAGGAGAAAGCATCCCACGAAATTCTCAGGAAGGGATGTGCTGCTTATTTGCCCTATCCATCCCATTCAGTAAGCCAAAGATCAGTGGTGGGATAATGAGAAAAAAGACTTGCACTTCCCAAAGCTGTAGGTAAGAGCTAAATGCACAGCTGTACTGGAGTCTCAGTTTGCTAAATGAAGGTGGGGGGGAGTATTTTCTTTTGTAGTGGTATAAATCTATTTCCTTACAACTCCATTAGTAGAATTAAGATTGCTGAGCCTGTTACATGGCAAAGGAGTTCCTTCACTTCAGAGATGGATGGAGGACAAAAATATTCTGTGTTTTATTAGGTTGAATATGATTTTTTTGTGTATGTGTGTGTTTTTTTTTTTTTTAAATGTACTGGTTTAAAAAAAAACCTCTGATCAGAAGTCATATTATAGTGAATTTGGTCTTCATCTCTCTCTAGCTCTGGCCTGTAAAACTTGGGTTTTCTTCCCCTTATGAGGGGATGCTGGTATGTACACTGCGTGTGTTCAGAGTGCATGGTTCTTTCTCCTCAGTACTATTGCATGACTAAAAAAAAAAACCTACTACATGCGTTGTAACTTGGTTTTAATACTGTTTTGAACAATCAAGACTGCATGTGTTGGTGCAACTTTCTCCCCAAACTGCATGCAGTGCTGCTGACATGTTCTGTCCTAGCTTTGGATTAAAAGACATTCTGAACTTAACTTGTATTAGGTGTAATAATATTACTTATAAGTAACTACTAAACTAATAGAGGCTGGCAAATCAAGTTACTATGCTTTAAAGAAAAAAAAAAAAAGTAATAAAACCCCAGAAATCAGGTGAATATAAAATTTTGTCTATTACCTTTTGAAACATTTGTATGGATAACTAACAGCTCTTCATCAATTCCATCAGCCCTTCATTTGGCCTGTTTTTCTTTTACCTTCAACTAGCAAACAATCCAGACTTGCATAGCTTCCTGTGACTGTAAAGTGCAACACACAAATTTATCTTGCAGAATAAGAGCCCACAGGCCAAAGGAGATGACAGCAACAACTCAGAACTAGGCTCATTGCGTGAAGAGGAGGAAGTTTCTGAAGCTGATAATCGGGAAAAGGAGATTCTCATTGATCGCATCCAGTCAATAAAAGAAGAAAAGTAAGTCACAGCTTTGAAAACCCTTTATCTCTGTACCTCCTGCCCTTTGCCTTTGGAGGTAACATTCAGGTTACTATCTGTAACTATGTTACAGACAGTAAGGCAGCATACTTTTTTTTTTTGTCCAAAATTATCTAGTTAATTACATTCTATAGACCTTCGTAAAGGTGGAAAGGAAAATGCAAAGGACTAGGCAGAAGAAAATGCCATGAGACTTATTGCTCAATGACTAGGTGCAGGAAAGGTCACTTCTAAAATCTGTGCTGCTTAAAGTTGCTCATATCTGAGACATTGTCTACTAGAGTGCTCCATTGTGTGTTTTGATGTAGGGAAGATATAACTTATCGGTTACCTGAGCTTGATCAGAGAGGCTCAGATGAGGAAAATGTAGACTCCGAGACCTCAGCAAGCACAGAGAGCCTGCTAGAGGATAGAAGAGGACGGATGGATACCGAAGGTCAGTATTAAGGTAGTGTGTGCTTTCTTTTTAATTCTACATATTTTACTGCATACAGCCAGGTGACCATATGCTATCTGGTCACAGTTGCTTGTGTCAAGCCCCTTTTTTTATGCGTGCTTTTAGCATCTAAGTATCTTTTTTCTTCAAAGGAAATACTTTTTCTGGATTACGCTGCCATGCTCGGAGTTCCAGTATGCCTGCCAAAGACACTTGTACAGTGCCTTCTCTTTCGCAGACCTCTTCAAATTCTTCCCTTGCATCCCTGGCTTCAAGACACAGATTATCTTTAACACTGGCCAAGATTAAAGTGCCCCGTCGAACTCCAGTGATGCCAACAGCAAATATAAAACTTCCTCCTGGGATTTTCAAATGTACAGAATCCCAGGAGAGGACTTCAGCTAGTGAAGAGTCTCAAATAACTGTGAGACGAAGGGGGCAGCCAGCAAGGCGAACTGATAAAATCCACTCTGTATACATTGCACAAGGGTCTGCAGTGGCCCACGCTCAGGAACTTTTGGACGAATATGAACCAACAGCGAAAGTAAAACGGAGGTTTTCGGACCCTTACTCTCACATTCCCTGTACAGAGAAGTGAAATATTTAAGCTATCTGGATTCTTTTTGAAGTTGACTACAGCTTTGGCTTTAACCCTTCGAAGGCTGTGAACTTGTTCATGTTCTTTTAAGTGGCTGCTAGGGAGGCAGTCCGGAAATGTACAGTACTGTAAGGGTTAGACAAGGTTGTTTAAAACAAATAATATTCCTCACTTTAAATTAAAACCCTGCAAAGAAAGTAGAACATAAATCTACATTGAGTAAAACACATGGGCTGAGTGTACAAGAAGAAATTAATGGCCCCTCCATTCTGCTGCCGTGCCTTTTTGTATTTGCCTTACAACGGACTCTTAACAGGACCAACGGTGAATTTGGGTCAGTGTGTGTTGCCTTAATTTTTTTACGTTTTTATGACAACTTTGTGTGGTTTACAAAACTGTTATTGTTGTAATAGCCTTAACCATGACCAAAATATCTAAAAACGTTTATTAATACATTGCACTTTTTAAATATACATGCGTTAGGTTATCCGTGTCCTCTTGCCAGCGTCTGCCTCTTCTAGGGAACAAATTCTTAGGAATCATTATCTTTGGTCACCCTTTCCTGAAGAATTAGGAAAGCTTGCTGCTCAGAGGAAGCGCTAACAGCAAGCCATGCCACGTGAAGAATTTCAGGGCTCTTTGCGCGCACGGCGCTGCATCTTCCCCTGACACCTGCTGCTGCGTCCAGCCCGGTCCCGCGTCCCCCAGTTCGTTTCTGTGCGGGGAAATCGCTGAGGGCGAGGCGCAGCAACACAACAAATGCCTTGAAACAGCCAGGCGTGCTCGAACTTTGTACGGAATTGGTCTCAATCGCTACTTATGGGCCTTGCATGGTCTTTAATTTCAGAGCGGTGAAGGGAAGGTGCAGCATCGACGCTGCTGGGAGCTTTTGTCTCAGCCGCCGCTGTGCCTGCCCCAGCCAGCGCC